ACAATGAAACATTTGAGAAAACATGACTTAAAATGAAGTTTAAAACACAAACAGTTATAGTATTTTAACAATAACTTTTTGGCTATTTTAATAGCAAAAGAGAGAAACACTTATTGTTAATAAATAATACATTTTTTATCAATAACTTTATTTCACCATTAGTAAGAATTTCATTTTTTCTAGTGCTTGATATTCTTCTACACCTACTTTATTAGTCAAGATTAAAAAATATATCCTTATGAATCAAGCCTGCATCTTACCCAAAATCTTATTGGAAACTGTTTTCTTTGTTGTTGCTGTTTTAAGTAGTAAATTAAAACAAAATCTTAAATAGATTGTTAGTTTGTGTAATATTACATCACAAATCACAATAAAACTGATAACAATTTCTAACAAATCTTTCTTTATTAGCCCTATACAATTTCCTAGTAAGTAGAATATAATAGTAATTCAACTGAACACTGTGTGCTACATGCTGCTAGCAAGGAGATCTTTCATTGAATTCCAGTGCTTGTAAGGAGAGATTTGTTTAAAATTATCATCAATCTTATCGTGATGTAATATTACACACATTGCTAATCTATAGATTATGTTTGGTGGCCTCACCTTCTGGATGAATAATGACTTAAATACACAGAGTGTGATATACGTAGTTTTTAATCTATAGGTAACCCTTGAAAAAAAAACAGTCCAAAGTCCCAACTTTCAGTTGAATTTCAATAAGGCAACAAAAACTGCAAGTACAAACTTAAATATCTAAAGTAAAGGGCTTTCTGATATAATTATAATGTATATCATTCCAGAGGCTCATTTGAAAATGATCTTGAAAGATATAAAATTATTGCCATGGAAAATAAAATATTCAGATTGGTTTAGATTTTTTTATGGTGCAAATATGCCAACTCTATTGTAGCACATATATTAATATCAAGAAAACTTAAAAGCTTCAACATAAAAAGACTTACACAATGAAACTTGAAGCATTCAACCAATCTGTTTGATAATCAAAATGGAACATTTTTTAAAGTTAATCTCTCCAAAACAAATTATTATATTTACACCAAAGTCATCACATACATGAGATAAAAAAAATTTATTATTATTATTTATTTATTTATTTGCTGTTTAATTTGTGGTGTTTATGAAATCTTTACAAGTAATGTATTTCTAATCACACCTGTAATAAAACAAAATATTTGAAACTGATCAAAATCAATTATAATATTTTTAAATATCTAATTAATACATGCTGATAACTTATTACCCAATTTTATTAATGAGAAAATACATATTTATGTATACTATATCATTAAAACTCTTGATTCATCGATAAGCAGGCCTTTAACATTTGGCTATCTTGAAAAATCCCACAAAAGAAAAATTTTTTTTTCAAATAAGGAAATATACATAATACTTGGAATTATTTTATAATATTGTAAATACTATATAAGAAAAGTTCCAACAAGTTCACAAAGCACAAATAATACTTAACATCAGTTTTGAAGTGCTTGAAAAGTAAGAATGTTAATGTAACCTATTACAAAATAACACATCTCCTAATTATTCTTTTAGTTGCTAGTAAGAAAAAACTGTTTTGTATGCTATGAAGAGCTGTGAAAATCCACTCTTTTAAACACGTTTTATAAGTGTTGAATGATCATACAGTCTCACATCACACACTAGCTTTTTTGACAACATATACTGAGAAATGAATTAAATATTAGGAAGAAATCTGTTATTTTTTATATTTAATACATGGTTTTATTAGATATACAGAGTAAACTTTTGTTTATTTTGTTTACAACATTTTACCAGACTTATCTGACTCCATCAGATGAGATACACGAACTGAGACTAACAGAGATTAATTTGAAATGTTTATGTATCTATTACAATAATACTTGGGCTCAGCCAGTAAAGCTTTATTTCTATATTTATATACTTGACAGTTCATTGATAAATACTTTATTAAGTTTGCAACTGCTGAATCATATGCTTTGTAGATCATCATTAATTTCTACTAGCCTCAATTCTAGTATCTCACCTGATGATGCCAGATAAACCTGATGAAATGTTGTAAACAAAATAAACAAAAGTTTTACTCTATACAACAGATAAAACCTTGTATGAAATATGTTGAGACAGTTGGGGTGGAGAGTAATTATTTGTGGCTAATTCAGTTTGTAGAGGCACTGGTCTCAAATTAACTGTGTGAGCTGAAAGTTCTAGGTTAATGCCCCTTTTACTTGCTTAACACTGTGATATGACAAGACAGATAAAAGGTACACATAATCCTTGAAAACAGAGAAAAACACAACTAATGTAAAGCAAATGCTAGACATATGACCTTAGATGAACACTGTACTGTTTATAACATGTACACATATTTAGATATTCAAAACTAAAACCTCTGTTCATGTAGTTAAATTATCTAGTTATAGATAAGATTGTGCATAAAGGTGTAAATGCATATAAGATTTTTTTATCAAGAAAAGGAAGAATTAGAAAAGATAATACAAAATATCTGAACAATCATTTAACATAGAATGTGTGACATCTGAAAAAACGTTCAGGAAATAGTAAAAGAAAGCAAAGTAAGACAATAAGGTGTAAAAAAAACAAACATGGATTAGTGTTCATTAAAAGCAGTTCGTATAATCAGTATGAAGTATCTAACTGGAACATGACATGCTTTTTATTCTTTTTCACTGCTACTGAGTATTTTTTGGTAATTCAGTACAAAAAAAACTTTGATGCCAGTAAAGCAATATAAAAAATCTGATAATTGTATTAGAAGCAATGACATTTGATATTATGATGCAAAGTTTAATTCATTAATATTTTCTCCACTTTACCACCAAAACTGAACAATTTTTCAAACAGTGATAAACAACTTATATACAAAGCATATCTTTACTCTTATAATTAACTACTCTTAGTGATACTAGAATAGTTAAAGATTTAAGTGTTTATAATGCATACTAAAGATTTTCCAATATATTTAAAGAATTATACACAAATGTAGTTCAGAAAATAAAGTTTTAATTTCTGATGTATAATAATGTGTAACTACTACTTTTCTGAAGTATAGTCATGATAATTTAGATTTTAGAAATATGTTAGCTGATCTTACAACAATGAAACACTGCACAGAACATTATAGTTTTTGCAAATGATCATAAATCTTTTCTTCATTTGTAAACCAAGTACTCTTCCAGAAAAATTACTAAATTCCATTAATATTCTTATATTAAATGTGCAATTCAAAACACATTTACTAAAAACAAGACCTCTAAATGAGCTTATCTGGATCATACCAAATATAGTTACAAAATGAAACAGACAGTGTCTTCTCAAACTTACTACATTTATACAACATTAGTAGATATGGATTAAAATGAGGTATATGAAATACTAAATTTGTAGTAGCATACATCATTAGTGTGAATTATTGTAATATATTTTCTGGATAGACAAATGAATCTAAAAAGTTATATTTAAAGTGACATAAAATTAAATAGAAATTCATTATATACTTGTTTTTTCTTGGAGGAGTTACTGCAAAAGAGAGTTTGCATTATTTTATGTTCTAACATCATGGTATTTAAAGGGTTATAATATTACAATGGAATTTCATCTCAAGAAGAAAATTAAGACTTCAATGTTGTAGCCTTGGAAACATTAGCACTATCGTGTCATGTGATGGTATGATTTGTGCTGGTTATTTTTTTTTTTCTAATTTCCATATGTAGGCACAGTGCTCCAAATAAGATATATATCCAAATGTAAGCACCAATGTTTTTACATAAAATATGTCTTAGAAATAAAAATCGTGCATACTACTTGTCAGTATGTTTAGGTGCATATTCTCTACTTCAAAGAAACAAAAACCTGCATCTTTAATAAAACAAAGCATCGAAGATCATTCTCACTGTAAACTTGTCATCAAATCCTGCAAATTGTTTGCATTTCACCATTATATGGAGGCCAATTGTATCTCTTTGGTTTTTCTCCTGAGCAGCATTAAAGAGCCATTATTCAATGAAACTGCAGTCTACTGAGGAGAGAATAACAAGTCAAATAACAGATTAGGCCTCCATATCATTCATGCTAGTAAAAGAAAAATTCACAAATGAGTTATATAGTAATTACCAGTAGTTTGCAGTTTCTGCTTAACTGGAAATTATATTAGTTATTTTATCAATCAATGTCAACAAAATGCTCACTGTATTTAATTTATGTTGTAATTACCTCGGGTGATCCTTTATAGGATGTTAATACAAAAATTAAAGGTCCAAGCATCTAGTAAGCAAAGCAAAATAGGCTTTGGATGAGGAAAAAAAAAGTCACCAAAACCTAAAAATACCCAAGTTTTCAACAATACAGTTTATTTTGAGGAATACAATACTCATTATGTCAAAAGCTTATCTGGAGCACTCTAGGTGAATACTATAAACTTTGTAAGTGCATATATTATGACAATGAAATAGACTTAAAAATAAAGCACTTTGAACATACTTTACTCAGTCTTTAGTTGATAAGATACACAGACCTGGAAAATTTAGCCTTTGTTATTTGTAATTCATAATAAATTTTTATTCAGTTATTGCTATTCTACAAATTTACCTAAATTTTGAAAACTGAACAATACTCGTTAGTAAACAGTACTCTAATTTCAGTACAAGTTTAATATAAACGTTATCGATAGTAAATATATATTTTCAAGTTGTTACTGCGTTAGTCTTTTATTAACAACTTACAAAGTGTAGACTGAGTTTATTCAGTTCCTGACCCTTTCGTTAGGCTTAATTGTTTGTTAGTCTTAGTAGTCTTAAAGTTAACATAAATAGATAAAAACGACTCGGGTGAAAATATTTCGCTGTTTATTAACTTCACCACACACTGACACAGCATTAATGCTACACTAATTCTTTTAATGACTGAATTCCTAACATCCATAAAAGAAGGATCTTTTTTATTTATTTTTTAATAAAACACACCTGATGCAAAGCGGTAAGACCGTCAACATTGGCTGTATTGATATCGGCACCTTTCTCAAGCAGACGCTCAACTTCTTCCGTGTCACCAGCAGCACACGCAGCAAGGAATACACAACCATCTGTAAATTTGATCTTTCCTTCGCTTCTTCTGGGCAGTTCTGTCTCTTTATTAGTTTCGGAATCTTCCCATCTTTTCAGCTGTTCAGCTCTCTTAAAGAGAGCGCTGTTGGAACGAGTTTCCATAGGCATTTGGAACACAGTTTATATTCTCACCTAAGCCAAATTCACGTAAGCCTACATGCCCTTCCGATTACCAAACAAATTTTATATACTGGACGGAAGATGGCAGTCGACATTAGTTAGGTGAATTATCTATAATAATACCTTAACATTTAAAAACACACAAAAACTGGAATTTTACAAACAACTTGAAGTTCATTTATATGTGGTCTAAACGAATAAAATAACAAAAAATCTGATTTAAATTTTTTAAAATACATATCTGTGTGTGCAGTCTTATAATTTTTTTAACTGTTTGTTTTGGATATTTGCGCAATGCTAAAAGGGCTATTTGCTTTAGCCGTCCCTACTTTTTAGATGAGAGACGAAGAGAGAATAGCTAGTTCTAGGGATATTTGAATCAAATAGTGAGATTTAACTGTCATTCTTATAAAGCGTCATGGCCCCAAAGTGCAAAGCACGATTTTGCGGTAACGAGACTCCAGCTAGGGATCATCGAATTTACAGTTCGACGAGCTAACTACTGGGCTACGCCCAGCCCTTTTAATGGGCTATTTTTCTTGTTATTCCAATATAATGGAAAGAAAATAAGTTTATATTATTATAAAAAATCGATAGATATAATTATTTCGAAAATTTGACAGCTTATACATAAAAAGTAACTGATATTTCGTGATCAAGTTTTTTTTAAGCGTGTACATATCATGTATATGAATTACAAGTGTCTTTTGTGTTCTTTGTTGGGGTAATTCAGTCAAAATATCGTTTATCAAACCCATTTAGATCATTTAACTTAGTACAACATTAAAATACTGGAAATTTTCAACCAAAATGAAACTTAATGCGACACATGGGCTAAATGGTCGAGTCAGAGGCACCGATGGTTCAGGAAGCCAGTCACCACCATCTACCACCACAAGAGCTTTATTAGGATCTTTGAATCAAATAACGGGATTGACTGATACTTTTAAAACATGCAAAAAATTGAAAGTGCAGAGCTTGTTCATTTGAATTAAATCTCGAACCTTAGACCCGTCGGTCTGAAGCCCATAATTCTAAACATTAGGCCATGCCTGAATCATTAGATCAAAACTATTTTATTGAAAAACATATTGCATGTGGTCTTACATGGTAAATAATTTGGTAACTTAGCATACTAACTTACTATATTGCGCAAAAGCAAAATTTTGTGTTTTGGAAATAAACATAGTTAAAAGAGACACCCTTTGACGAACTTTCTAATGTTATTTTGTATAAAAGCTCAAGACACTGAAAACATATTGAAGCTTTCCAAAAGAATGTTTAAGTTGGCCACATAGAAACTCCACAATAGAATGTAAAGATGATAAATGAAATTTGTTAGTCTTTGCAACTCCTTAGTAAAGGGCTGGTGGCTCACCATTTCAGCCGTACTTATAATGTTATGGTTAAACCCACTATTTTGGGGGGAAAAGACAGGTCAAGAATTGGCGGAGTATGTTGCCGGCTGGTTGCCTTCCCACTGGTCGTCAGTTTAAACGTAGGGAGGGCGGTAAATAGCCTTAGTAGTTTCATCATAAATACAAACAAAACCTTGATAAAAAAAAGTTTTGATAACAAATTATACATACTACAGTGAATTTTAGAACACAGAATAAATTATTTGTTTATTGTTAAGCACAAAATTACACAATGGGTTACCTGTGCTGTGTCCACCATGAGTATCGAAACCCGGTTTTTAGCGGTGTGCACCCTCAGACTTATTGTTAGTCACTAGGGAGGGGTGGCGGGAGGATTTTTTATTCTAAGATTAAAACTTTTATTAAAAAATACAACTCATGGTTAGTTTCTGTATTAAAACTGCTCTTCTAATCATAATTTAATTTGCTCTATAAGAAACAGATATAGAATAAAAGAAAAATGTGCACACATATTTAAAAAAATAAGGTAAGGGTATGTGTTCGATACAGACAGTTAAGCTTGAAACCTCTTGCAAATCAAATACAAGCGAACAATATCATATGATTATTTCCATTCTAAAAGAAAAAAAAGAAAAATCAAAGTATTTGATTAAAAATTACTTGGTTTTCCTAATATATGCGGTATTTTTCGAAAGTAACTTTTCAATAATTATTGCC